CCAACATCCCCACCACCGAAGGTGCGATTCATCCCACGCTCGTACAATAACACACACACACGCACCGATGAAGACCGGGCACTCGCTGTCGGCCGACTAGGTGGCGGTCGTTGCGGGCTCCGCAGCCGTCAAACCCCTCTGCGTGGGAGGCAGTGCGGGGCTGGCGGGATGGCACGAAACAAGCACAACTGCACTCGCGCTGCCTTCCCCAACGCGGCCTCATTGATGAGTGAAAAAAAAAAAATTAACAAAAATGAAGAACCAGGGAAGCTACACAAGTTTTCCATCATCTTCCGTAAAAATCCCAATTCGCAAGCTTGCTCCACACGCTTATATGCATAAACAAAGGAAAAAACACTCTCCGCCGTTTTCTTTTTTTTTCGAACGCAAAACAAAATAAACATGGCATTTCTTACCTCCTCATCCCCCCGCATTCTACTTCCACTCCACACCTTTGCATCACTACACATTGGATGGCAAGTATCCTCCGCGGCAGCGTTATTGCACGGTTAAAAAAAAAGGATATTTCGCCTTGCCTCCCCTCCCGCTTTTAACTCATGACATGGAATCAGCTTGATTGTCATCGTTGTGGTCGTTGCTCCACAAATTTTCGTTTTTTTTTTTAGCCTTTGCAGACACCGCCCGCTCAATGACGCGTCACGCACACCACCGCATCACCCGCGCAGGCGTCACACACAGCGAGAGCCAAAGCAGCTCCGCGGCGGCGGCGCAAAGAGGAGATAAAAAACGGAAAGAGGTGCGAGAGGCGCTGAGAGGAGGAGAAGGTGTGGCGTTGACAGTTGGAAGCACTTAATTACCCCGCAGGGGTCCCTGGTGAGCCCCGCCCAGCCTTCATTGAGCTGGGCGCCCCTCCCTACACTCACGCGCACAGACGGCAATGAGGGAATTTGTGGACAAACAAAACGCTCAGAAAGAAACCACGGAGAACGCAGATATTTGTTTCACGAGGGCACAGAAAGCACTTCGCAGAAGCAGAAGAAGAAAAACAAGCAAGCAAACCATCAAACAATCAAACAATCAAACAACCAAACAGCCAAAGAAAGGGTAAGTAAAAACAAATGCTGAAGAGAAAACTGCGACGTGAAGGGAAACGGAGATGGCACTTTTGTCCCCGGCTTCAAATGCACTAACAATCATGGTGGAGAGAGAAGGAAGAAGAGAAAAAAAAAAGAGAGGACACAGTGCGAAAACAAAACGAAGACCTTCACGGAAGCCCTAATAAATACCCGGAATCAACTTGTAGGGGACCACCTGCAGATAGCGTTCCCAAAGCTCACCGTACTTCCTGCGGCAACGATAGTCATCACGGCGCTCGCGGTCCACGAGATGACAGGTGAAGAAGCACAAGTAGAAGAACGGAATAAAGGAGTCAAAGCCGCATGACGCACCCCACAAAAAGGCCATAATAAGATCCGTGCTATAATGTAGTTTGCGGCCATAGCGATACCACCCGTCCACAAAAAGTTCACCGCGTTCGCTTTTTAAGGTACGGGGATTTTCAATATATCCCCAAGGCAGTTGCGGAAAAGCCTTGCGTCGAAGGATGTGCTCCGGAACTCCGTTACGCTTCATGCGGAAACGATTCTTCTGTGAATTCGCGTTATCCCAGATATAGTACGCCGGGATGAGAACCATCAGCATAAGCGCCAATTGCCAAGGTTGGTAGGAACGCTCTTTTAGAACTGCCTGGATGTATAAGGACTGGATGGAATACAAAAACGGCACCCCGCACGTATTCCAGTACGCCAACATCCATCCAAATTTCTCGTAAAATACGTCCCAAGTACTGATAATACATTCTTCGCCCTTTTGAATCGCATTCACGTACAAGAGCTGTGCTAAAACAAGGAAACACATATTTCCTGTAATGTAGCCAAGCTCTCGGTGCATCGCGGCGGCATTACTTAGGGTAATAATCACCAACAGTACCCAGGAATTGCGGCATTCTGCAAAAAGCTTAACGTCCACGTCACCGGGAAGACGAAAGTTGAGGCCTGATCCCATGAAGAAGTCATATACGATATTGTTTGACATACGAATTCTTCGACGAAGGCCAGCAATGTAGACCCAAACCGAGAGGACGTCCGCCCAAATAGTAGCGGCGGTTAAGTAACGTCCATATTCCTCGTGCACCCTCCACAGAGGGAAGACTTCAGTGAAATGTAATACGCCTACAATGACCACCATACAATACCACGCATGGACGGCATTGCACCTGTAAACATAGCGGTAACCACCTTCGCTTGGAATGGGAAGCCCCTTGACCTCCACACCGGGAAGAATAACAGCCAAGATGTACTCCAGAATCAAAAAACCTGTAAAGATGCCAAAAGTATCCCACGTCGGTGCCGCATGCACACGCAGATACTCCCAAAAAACGCTGAACATGCTCTTCCCCTCTAGTAGTGGATGGCCGGGGTAGATCATGGTGCCCTGAAACTTCATTATACAAACCATAAAGTAATATATCAGCGTATGGGATGCCAACATGATGAGAAAGACGGCCCAAGGCCCACAAAATTCAAAGTGGCCATCCCAGGTGTCCTTCTCGGGGGAAAATTTCTTTTCCACCGTGAGGTTGTAGAGCTCCTCGGGGCTCAATTTTCGCTCAGCCGCCTGCGCATTGCGTTTTGGGGTACCTGAACGCCGAATTGAAGACGTCCGGCGAGTTCCAGTGGTCATGGGACAAGTGAGAAAGTAATGGCAGGGCTAAAAAGTGTGTCTTTGTGTTCTTCCCGATTTGGAATTTTCTTACGCGAGTAAGGATAAAAGGGTGGAGAAGCAAAAAATGAAAATAAAAATAAAAATAAAAAATAAATAAACTGGCACCCTTTGCTGCCTCGGCATCAATAGTTTACCCGCCACACACACGCACACGCACAGAAGGGGAGTCAAGAAGCGTCGCACCACAAGAACAACAAAATTACCACTGCACCACCCCTCTACAGCCTCAACACCAAGAAGCGCAAAACCAAAAGAATATATAAATATATAATCAGCATGTTTTCTCTTTTGACAGCAAAGGCATTCAACGACGCAGGTTTGTGTATGCTAGCTGGAAAATAGCCTGACCAGAGGACGCCAATAAAGAAGAATCTCCATTCATAGACGTCAGAGGCTGTGAAAGCTGGGTCACAGTGTCGTTAAACAGCGCGTCCGCGTCATCGATGGCTGGAAAACGCACGTCTTCCATCGCAAGCGAGCACAGGGGACCCAATCTTGCATCGCCGTCGCCTTCGAACACTTGCGGCAACTGAAATGCCTGTACGTCGCAGCAGCGCGTAGTGGAGCTGCTTCCATCGCTGGGAGGGGCCGCATCCTTCAAAATATCAAGTGTATACAAAGTTCTGGAAAAACCACCAGTGCACACTTCGTGACCGTTCAAAAAACGCACACCAAACTGTTCGACAACATCTCCCTGAAATATTTGTTCCAGCTCCTGCCGGAGATGTGGGTACAGTTCCCACCGCTGCAGCACATCGTACTCGTCTTCTTCATGCAGTGGCAGAGATGGCGTCTGCGCAGCTCGGTCCTGCCTGGAATCGCGACGGACGTCCCACAGGCACGCACTCACGACATCACGTCCAATCACAAATCTCCCGCACGGGCTCAGTGCACAGTCGGTAAGTGAGTTGGTGAAAACAGTATCTCCGTCACAGTACGTGTTTTTAAACACCAACGGCGTTTGCTGAAATGACTTGAGTCGCTGGCGAATGTCAAGCACGCGAACGATACCGGCAGTTGTCACAAGAAACAGCAAAAATGGCTCGTGAGGAAAGCACCGAATGCCAAATATAGTCTCAGTAACCTCCTCCTCAAAGGGGGATTTAAGTCCATAGGTTTCAATAGACGTCTCCGGGTGCTCGATGCACCACAGCTTCACCGTGAGGTCATCCGCAGAGTAAAACTGCGCACTATCCGCCAGTGGACAGAGCGAGTTAATGTTGTACTCGTGATTCAAGGCGTACCGAGTCACCTGCTTCATCGCGGTCGTCCGCGTACCACTGAGTGGATTCAACGTGAGTGAGGCAACATTTTTCTCGCCAAGGTGATCCACCGCCGCAAAAGGCGAAGGAGACTCCCGCACCTCAACCAACTTGAACAACTTTGGCAGTTTCTCGTTTGCCATGAGCAGGTAGGTGGTAGGCCCCACTTGAGGTAAGAAACAGAGGGCCTGAACGCATGGGATCACCTCCACACTGTTCAGTGGGTCTATGACTGAGGTGTACGCCTGTCGCCCCACCGCAAACGCATAGGGCCGCTGTACTCGTGAAGCATATCTACCTGCGTATTTACGCCCCTCTCCATTGCTTCCATCACCGTCGCTGCTGTTGCTCTCTAGCTGCTGCTGTTTTATGCGGTGCATCAAGAAAACACGACCAGAACGGTCACCAATGGCAACGTGCTCCCCAGAACTGCTTGTCGCAAGAGCCGATACGTTCAAGGCGCCACTTCGGCAGTACGTGGGGCGACCATCGGCAACACGTTGCCATGGCTTTCCAGACACATATACCCCATGCAACGCCAACTTCTCCGAAGAAGCTGCACCATCAGTGTCTCTACAAGGCCTCCTAGAACTTGCTTTTCGCATGCCTTCATCACCAAAGATTGCTGTGGCATACACATGCCGAAGCGAAGCCGCAAATGAATTGCGCACTTGCTGGTGACTGAGCAAAGTTGCCCTGGGCGAGGAACGACGCAGCACGTCCTCACTACCCACTGGATTTCCACCCGCTGCTGGCATGGAGGGCGACGCAGTGCTGCGCGAAAAGACGTCGACCGAGGGGCCCTGTTTTTTTGGCACGGGTTGAGTTTTGTCGGCGGCAATTCCAGAAGGCCGCTCTGGCCTCCATTCGAGCTGGGCATCTGCCGTGCCTGCCTGCCCATGCAACGCAACGGCACCCGTGTTCACTTCCAGTGCAACGCCCGTCATGCTGCAACTCCGCGAATGGGAAGGCCGAGGCGAAAAGCCACCTGGAACGCCCTCTTCTACCCGGTTGTTCTGCAATTTCTTTTGCGCTCGCCTCGCAGCTGCGCCATCCAAGTTTATGCTGGGCAACATGAGCTGCTCTTGCGTCTGTAGTGTGGGCCGTTGGTCGCGGTTACTCCCCACACTTTTCAGGGGAAGCAGAACCCCGGGCAAAAATTAAGCTCTTTACAAGAAGGCGAAGAGAGAGAGAGAGAGAGAGAGAGAGAGAAATAATAATAAACACCTTTTTTCCTCCTCTTCTTCTTTTCCTCGTGGTGATGGTGATGCGTTTGTTTTTGATCGTGTGGCTTCTTCGTGCCGGTGTTGTTGATGCCTCTTCCAGGGCTCCCCGAAGCCTGGAGAAACTAAACCTGCATTTCCATCTGCAAGCAAACACAGCAACAGTCACACACACACACACACACACACACAACCAAAAGAGAGAGAGATGGAGAGAGAGAGCAGGAACACTAACCGCGACTCCACCGAGAGGTGGGAACGCGCCGCCCTCAGCTCCGCATATCCCTCGCATTCTTGACCACCTCCTCGTACGAATACTCGAACTTTTTGCGGAACGCCAAGTCCTGGAAGTCGTAGCGCTGTCGGTCACCTTTGTTGTACATTCGATGACTCACCCACTCCACAGGGCACTGCACGCGACGCGCCTGAAGGTCTCTCCACCAATACGCATCCTTGTACTCGGGCGGGACGGGGATGTGGTAGTACACCTGATCTGGCACCAGGTGCGCACGCTCATCCCAGTGTGGATCGTACTTCTCCTGCCACGTCTCTGGGTCAACGCGCCGATTGGAGTGCACTAGTTTGCGTGGGTCGTACATGGGCAAGGGATCCCAGTTGTAGCGGTGAATCGATTTCTTCTGCAGCAAACGCTTCAGTTGGTGTGAGAACATCCCCTGCCCCTGCTTAAAGATAACAGGGTTTTTGCGTCGAATGATGCTTAAATGAAACATTGTGCGCTAATGTAAGGGAAAACTGTGCGCTCCGCCACGGCCCACCCCGCTCACTCCCGCTTTCTTTTTATCGCGGTAAATAATATGGCGGAGAAGCAAAAGGACACACAAACAAACATTGCAACGATCCATTTTTGCATCTCTCTACCACTCTGTCAGTATATACTTCACCCGCCCACTCAAACCTCGATGCATGAGTCCGTGCAGGGACACGCGGGTCACACCGAAGCAGTAAAAAAAGAGGAACTTTGGAAGAGCACGCACACACCCCAGCAAACAACTGCCGCAAAGCAAACGCGAGAAAGCGGGGCCCCGAGGAGCGTCAGTCTCATTCCGCTCCCCCATGGCCGCAAAGCAACAAGAACCGGGAAACTGATGCAACAACGACAAAAACAAGTGCCAGAAAGGGGCACTTCTATGTAATGGAGTTTGGAAAACTGCTCTTTGTAGTCTCTCTTGTTGTTTATTTGTTTCTTCGCTTGTGTATTTGTTTTTGTGTTTGTGTATGTGTGTTTTTTTATATATCTCCTTTCTATGCAGCACTTTTTTTTCCCCTGTTCTTCAACGTGCGTCTTGGACCTCATCACACACACGCACACACACTTTCTCTTTCCCTTCCCTTCCCCAACAATCTCTCTATGCATGCATATCTGCAATTTCCCGTGTGTCATAATCAACTTGGCATGCAACTCATTGCTGACTGCAATAGTGCCAGCCGGTGATGTGCAGAGGCATGATTTGCCACACACACACACAAAACATACACGCACAAGAAAATACATGTATACAAAAAAAAATACTTCTTTCTTCTATGCGTTACAGTTATATATAATTCATATATGAAGCGTGTATGTAGGTTATCATAAAGCTTCGTCCTCTATGAGTTCGTTCATGGAATTTCGTTTTATGCCCATGTGCGTGTGCGTCTCCACTTATCAGGGCGGTTTCTTGTGATCCAGTGCATCGACACGCACCTACACACACAGAGAGAGAGAGCGAGAGAAGTCTATAACCCGGTTAGTCAGTTAGCACACACGTTAATTCTATCGTCGGGCCTTCTTTGCCTTGGCAACCTTCCGCACCTTACGCCCGACCGCGGCGCCACGCTGGGAGGCGTGCTGTTGGGCCTCCCTGGGGAGGCGCTCGAAGCGAAGCACCTCCGCCTCCGCACGGCTTGCGTGACTCGAAACGGGCCGGTTGGAGAGCGGTGCGAGAACTTTGGGCCGTCGGGAAGCTGCTGTCGCTGTCGTCTTCACCCTTGGTGTTGTTGCGGTCGCCGACGCCGCGGGAAGCCGAGAGGCGGTTACACCTGTAGGCGCAGAGTCTTCCAAAGCCAGCTGCTCCGTGCGGTTTTTAATCGCGTCCCGCATCTCCAGGAGTTGCTGAAGCTTCTTTTGCAGCTCCGCAAGTGATGCAGCCGTCACCTCGGCATCAACGCCGTCCTCCTGCGAGGCAATGTTTTCTTCAAGGTGTTTGATATCCTCCAAGATGCCCTCCATTCGTCCCGTCAAGCGCTGCAACTCCTTCTGGCCGTCCTCCAGCGTCTCAACTGGGCTGCTAAGAGGCTCATCGGCGGCGGCGGCGGCGTTTGTATCGTATTCCTCCCCCGCCACCGCCTCGTCAGCATCATTGACGGACTCGAGTTGATCCGACTCGTTCGCTTCCTCCTCATCTTCAACCCCTGCCACGTACACGTCAGCGGCGCCTTTGGCGTTGGCGGCATCAAACTCCTCCGCAGCGAGCGCGGATGCATCTGAACCCGCCTCCGCATCCTTGGCCTCTTCCTGCGCCAACGCCTCTGCAATACTGATGGATGGTGGAACACAAATGCCTCCCGCGTCCGCGTGGTGACCCGATCGCCGCAGTCGATCCTGCTCGATCCGCAGCTGGCTGATCTCGCGTCTGCTGTTAATGATCCCCTGTTCAAGTTTGGTGATTATGTTCCGCTCCGTCGCATGTTGCAACCTTTTTTCCATGAGGCCAATCTGAAACCGAATGGCGCCAATCTTCTCTTGCAAGTCGTTTGAATGCTTCCCGCGCTCTCTTGCCTGACGTTCCCGTTCCTCCTTGCGTATGCTGTCACGCTCCGCGGCCCAAGCTTCTCTGCGACGCACCACACGGATAAAATCCTCCAGTTCTTCCAAATCCGACCGCGAAGATGCCAAAACTGCCATCAACGTCATGTCATCCTCGTCTCCCCCGCTTTCCATCTGGCGCTCAAGCTCAGTAATCTCCTTGCGCAGCCGTTCCGCACCAAGGCAGAGGCCGTCGTACTGCTCTGGCGTGCATGTTGGCTCAGTGGAGGCGTTGATATTACCATTGCAGCTGGTGTTGTTGCTGGTGGTGGTGGTGGTGGTGGTGGTCGGCACCACCGCGCTTGCTGGTGCACACTCTGGCGAGGACTTTTCATGGATGGTTGGTGGTCCTGCCATCCTTGCCGGCGGCGTCTGTGCGCCACCGCACGTCGGCTCCTCCTCCGCCCCTTTCTTCCATATCTTTGATTTGGCCTCCTCAAGCGTCCGCTCCAGCTCTGCCTCCGCCTCAACCGCAGCTTGCTCCGCCTGCTTTTGCCGTTCCAGAGCGAGCTCGGCCTCGCGCTGCGCCTGACGCGCCTCCTCGCGCTGTTTACCGAGGACTTTTACCCGCTCCTCATGCTTGCGCAGCAGCTCCTCCTCCAATGCTCGGGCACGTGCTTCCGCCTGCTCGCGCCGCATCTGCTTCTCTGCTTCTTCCCTTTTCTGCATCTCCAGCTTCTTTCGTTCCGCTTCCTTTGCCTCACGCTGCGAGACACTCTTCATCGTATCTTCGATCTTGAGCAGCGTGCCAAGTGCCTCCTCCATCTTTTTTAGAAGCAACTCCTCTTCCAGGCGACGTTTTTCTTGCAAGGACTCAATCTCCCGACGTAACATCAGCGCCGCCGAAGACAGTTCCTCAATCTCCCTTGAGGGTGAAACCGTGTCGTGGTCTGCGGAGGGATTCTTCTCAGCTGTACATCCCGCTGCTTGGCCTAAGGGTTCCCCCTCCCCAGACTTGTCTTCGGCGGCATCACAGTTTTTTGCGGGATTCCGCTCTTGCTGGTGCTGCTTCGCATGGCCCAGTCGAGTAAAAAGAGGCGATGTCGTGGAGGCAGTTTCTCCTTTTTGCATCTCCTTTGAACTCATGTCGTCTACAGAGGTCAGGCTCTCGACGTTATTCGACGACTCCTCCACATCGGCATGGGTCCCTGCGTTGGAAAGAGAAGTCTGTAATCTCCCCGGAGCGTCCACCTTTCCCGCGCGTCGCAGCTGCCCCATCTTTTCAAGCTGCTCTCGTAAACGTGGGAGTTCCTTCTGCGCCGCAGCAAGCTTCTCTTGCAACTCACTAGCTTGGTCAATGCTATCTGTGTTCAAAAGTCGACGGCGTATCTGTGACGCCTCCACCTTCTTCTTGTGGTATGCATTGGTAAGAGCCTCGTAGGACTCGGGAGTGTACGCACGGCGACCTCCATCAAAGGGATGACGTTCAAGCCCCACAGAGGTAGCCGACGGTTCTCCAGCAATCACCGTACTCTTTCCCTTCCCAAGTGAAAACTCCTTCACGCAGCGGCCAGAGGGGTGACTGGCCTGACGCAAGGAAGGAGCGGCGTCAATGGCGTGTTGCAGTCTTGCCTTCTCATCACCGTCTACACTTGACGCCTCGCGCTGGATGCGCTCAAATGCGCCCTCCACGCTGTCCTTTTCAGACACGTGGGCCCTTCTCGACTTGGCGGGCTTCGACAAGGCGGGGGCCCCCATGAGCCGAATCGCCTCCGTCACGGACGGCTCCGTGTCCTCCGTTGCCTTGCGGCGTATGAGCAGTTTAGAGAGTGGGATGGGCCGCTGCTCCGCCGTTCGCTCAGCGTCGTCAATTGGCAGAGCCCTTGGCTTCTCATCCCCCGCGCTCAGCTCCAACTCCGCCAGTTCGATGTAGTCTCGAAATTTTGCAAAGTACAACAGACAGTCACGATCCGTCATCACATCCTGGTTCCAGCCGAAGCGCATCATGACAATCTTTACGGGCTCCCACGAGAGGTGAATGCTTTCGTAGCGTCGTCGAAGAAAATCCTCCACTGACCAGTCGAGAATGACGTCCGTTTCGGCCGAGCGATAAACGTGAAGACGGCGGCACGCCTTCAAGTCGGGGAGGGAACGCCGCACAAGGTTCGAGTAGAGGAACGGTGCCAGATGATGCAGTTGGCGAATGGTCAAAGGGTAATCCGTGAGTTGAAGCAGAGGTCGAAGACACCTATTGACAGCCTCCAAGTTGTAGCGACCAACGGATTTGATTTGCTGGCGTTGACGTGTCGCATTCTTCTCCATTCGACGAAGAAGATCTGCAAAAAACGGATGACTTCTCACATTTTTGAACTCATCTTTCCCTTCCACGCCTTCAATCGCCTCCTCATCTTCCACACCAGCCTCATTCCCCATTCTACACTCTATTTCTTGCACCTCTTTGTCGTCGTGTTCCTCCACTGTCACGGGCCCGTCAGACTCTTCATTGCCGAGAAAACGTGCACTGGTCATAGTAGCCACGTTGCGAGGGTCTTTGGAGCGTGTGGAACTCGTGTAGATGTCTGCCACGTCATCCTCCACGTTGTCATCCCCATCATCGTTCGTCAGCGCCACTGCCGACTTCCGATGGGACGCATTTGCGACAACATCAGACTCGCGTCTGGCAGAACGGGTCTCGGCATTCCGCCTATTCTCCACCTCTACCTCATCATGGCTGTAGATCCTGGTCACGTCATCCTCCATGCCGTCTTCTTCACCATTGCTCCTCCCCGCCGCAACGCGATTGGCAAAGCAGCTTGTGAGCACCACGGGTTCGCGCTTCGGTCGAACGTAAGGATCATACCTTCTCTTTAGATTTGGAGGTGCATGCACTTCCTCTTCATCGTCGTCGTCATACTCTTGCTGCTGGTACTGCTGCTGCCTACTCTCTATGCTGGGAGGTGCGTGTTCATCCGCAACCTCCACCTCGTCCAACTCATGCCCCTGGGCGTCCGGGAAAAGCACCCCTGTCTGCTCCAGCGCCCCAGAGGAATTCCTTCGGGCGTCACCACCCGATGGAGCCCGAGGCATCTCCCGCTTCGGCACACGATCGCCGACATGAAATTCGGATGACTTCGTCGCCAGCGTGCGCTCTCGATTCTGACGGCGGGACCCTCCAGTGCCGCCCGCGGCCATGAAGGAGCCCGCAGCACGCCTTGATGTCCCGGGAAGATGCAACACCCTGGCACGAAGCACGCGTCGCATCATGGCGTCCAATCCGATTTTCTGCCCGGCCTCACGTACTTCGTTCGCGTTGCCACTTCGTTTTTGTTTTTGTTTTTGCCTCAGCTTTTGTTGAATTCTTCCTGCTCCTTGACTCACTATGCAGCTCAGAAACAAACAACCGACTCCGCTAAGAAGTTCGCTTGACGGAAAGCTTCATTCGTGATGGTGGTAGACGCACAGACACAGTTACAGAGAAGGATACAATAAAAAAAAAGGCAGAAGAATGGCATGTGTAACAGTCCAGTCCAAAGGTCTGAGGTTTCGCTTGCCAAACTCCAAAGGGAGACAAAATGGGCAGTGAAACAGCTGCATGGTCTTACTACATTGAACTTCGCCTTTCTCTCCTTATTCCCTGGAGAAGGTGATTTGACGAGCTGCACACACACACAACAAAAAAAAAAAAGCTGCGGGAGAAAATTATTCACAGTCATGAACTTCATTCCTCTCCCTCCGTGTTTACATGACGCTACTCAGTTGCAAGAACGTCAGCAAATTCCTCATAGTATATACGCCCACTTTCCGGGTCAGCGGCTGCGGATATAAACTCATCTACCTCCTCTTCTGTAAAGGGTTCGCCTCCACTACGCAGAAAACGCCGCAGCTCCTCCGCTTCCAGGTACCCACGCCTAGCCAAATCCAACACGGAAAATGCCTCGTATATTTTCTCCTCACTGTCGCGAACAACAGAAATCGGCGCTATTCTTGAGGCGGGAGACGCAGCAACTGGTGGCTTTCGCGAAGAAGCTGTGGCTGTCACTGGCGCCTTTGGGGGAGCCATTAAACCCGTCATGAGAGCCTCAACTATTACTTCTTTCAGTACCTCTGCAAGCACAACTCCCCGGGAAGCCGCATCTGTGTCCTCCACCATCTCCAGCAAGCATAAAACCTCCTTATTGGAGAGGTTGAGGCCCATCGCACGGGCTATGTATCCAACTGCCAGCACTGGAACCTCACTCTTTCCAAGGGTCGTCAGAGCCCGAGGGCCTCGGGTGGTCTCTTGGGTCGCTACAAGAAGCTCATCAAAGAATTTGGCATACCTTTTCCGTCGAAGTCTATCTTGCGCAGAAACCAACAACTGCTTTGCACCCACAGTTATACACTCAACCTCACCGTCGACTTTTTTCGTTCCTTTGTTGGGTTTGGGCATGGATCTTCCCTCCCTTCGGCTGCCCTTGTGACTTACTGTGACTCCGCCTCTACCCTCACGAAGCGCAGCTTTTCCCGAAAGCCGCATACCACGCACACACAAAAGAAAAATAATAATAATAAACAAAAAAATAATAATAAATAAAATAAAAATGAAAAATGAAAATAATAGGGATGTAAGGATGAATTACGAGTAACAAATTCAGCTGATCCAAGACAAATAACTGGCATCATACACGCGTTACCACCGCAAACCCCTGCTATTTCGGCACAACCCAGGCGCCTCACACAAAAAAAAATCTAGTTCTTTCAATGACGATAAACGGGAATTTTTGGTAAAATAGCTTGTTAAGTGAGCAGAAACATTTTGGAGAATAGTTTTTTAATTCGCGCCTCGGGAGTAGGAAATTTTTGTCCCATGAGAGAATCACCATAGATCCTGTCCGCCAAGTAATTTAAAGCTAGCAGAAACGTTCCCACAGAAATAGCTCCGTCCTCCGTTTCTACATGCTCTCGCTTTTCTATAGCAGAACAGTAAAGAAAAATGCGACGCAAATCCGGCTTACGAATAAGTGGCAACAATTCGTGTCGGCGGGCAACCTCGACAAACCCATCCAAGTTCATCACAGTGGCGTGGTATCCTTGTGCGGCCCTAATGGCTGTGGTATAACTTTCTTTGATGCGTCCAATAAATTCTTTTACGATAGACGCTACAGCGTCCGTTTTGTATGAGTCAATCAAAGTGGTTTCCATAGAAAGCGACGCATCAGTGTCTTCACCATTTCCACTAAAGCCAATATGCGAAAGCAAGCCTTGTGATCCTTGCTTTCCCTCCATAGCCGCATCAACATATGGAAATATGTGATACAACAAAAAGGCAATAAACACATCTTTCGGCTTTTCATCTAAAGGACTTACTGTAGCACTAAGTATTGTGCCATCCGAAAGTCGTCGTAACCGACGCTTCTCCATTGCAAGAAGATAAATAGCCTCACCAAACAATTCCTTTGGAATTGTCTCGAGGCGCTGAAAGGCAAAAAGCTTCTTCTGTTGTGATGTAGGTACGTACTTTCCCAATGTTATACCTCGGTTTTGAACCTGGACGTTCTCCAGCTGCTTGTGTTGTTTTCTGTTCAGTGAGCGCATCACCGCCATCCAGAGTAACTCGGCAGAAGTTCCCTGAGAAATCCCGCAAAGTTGGCAATCTTTTAGCATACGCGAAAAGTGAGTCATAGTCATCGTAGGGTGGAACGCCTCAATCGATGAGGTTGTGTAAAAGTCATAGATTGTATTGATACGATCCTTGTATGTTTCTAATACTGCATCCACATCTTTCGTGTTTTCAGCCTGGTTTTCATAGTCAGTATCACCACCGTCAGATGGCATTGTCATTTTATTGAGCGAGACGGCAGCCTTCTCTAGGGTTTGGACTTCAAGGGGAACGGCTATCATTTCAGACGGATCCAGCGCCACTGAAGGAGAGGCATGACCACTTGCACGAGCCAAATACAAACAAAATTCTGATAGCTGCTGAATGCGTTCTTCGAATTTCAACATTCTCTCTTGGTAGAGTCGATCTTGATACATCACCACTTGTTTCACCTCTGCTACTTGTTGTTCCATAGTTTTCCTGAGGTCACTTACCTCTGTTGTAATGAGCTGCTTGAGAAGCCCTAATTGTTGACTTATATGCTGGATCTGTTGTTCTGCATGATAAAGACGAGCTTCTACGGACATCTAAGACATTCAGCCCCTAAGAAAATCTACAAGTAGAATAACCTTTCCTCTCTCGCTCTCTTTCCCTCTCTCTCTTTAATTCTTTTATTTTGTGTAGATATATATATATATAACTGTATGTGTGTGTGTACTTGTGTGTGTAGCAAATAATAATAATAATAAAGGAGCCATCACGTTCAATAAGGCGATAGGTTCCAAGAAGAAAACAAGAAGGAAAAGAAAAAAATGCGTTAACAAATTCACTTTTTAAGCCTAAAATAAATACATAAACAATAAACAGCAAGAGCGGAAAAAAAAATCCAAAATACAACGGTGGGAAAAACACCACAATGTAGCCTTTTTCTTTTCCCTTTTTATTGGTGGCTACTCCAATAACTATCGATTCTCCATCCGCTTTCCCCTTTTTACTCTACCCTTTGTTGCCCTTCATTACGTCAGCAGCAAAGTTGCAAAGAATACAACGCAAGATTCTCCGTAAAGGAATAATATCCCACTTGAATTTATTACATACACTCTACTTATTCCCAGTCATCCAGGCCGATACCATTCTCCGATCGTTCCCATTTGGCCTTGGTTTGTTTCATCACATAGTGAAGTACCGTGTGCTGCAGCACACCAATTCGCAGTGACATTTGCTTAATTTCAGCCCTCACCTTTGTCACCGCCTCCTTCACCTGCATCAATGGCGTTGTATCAGAAATTTTTGTTTCGCGATCCTCAATATCCCTTTTTACCTGCTCTAACAACCCGCTCAACTGATTCAACTCGGATGACAGTTGTTGAACACTTTGACTTGCCATATTTGCAGAATCTTGTGAAGTGTTAAGCTCACGCAATTTTACCCTATAATCTTCAACTTGTTCAGAAAATTGCTGGGCAAGTGTTTGCTCCCGCTTCTGAATGCGATCCTTTGACTTTTCCAAATCATCTGCTACATGTTGAAGCATCTGTCTCACCTCCGGATACATTTTTTCGACAGCCTTGAGTAAAACAGTGGCATTTTCAATTCGAGAACGCCAGTCTTGAATAGCGTCTGACCTTACCTGTAAAAGAGGGCCTACACGTTCCACTTCCAAGTTCCATTCTTCAGCATTAATCTCGGATTCTACAGGAACTCCTGTATCTTCTTTAGATGACCTTTCTCCAGTGGCACGAACATAGACTTCGTCTTCATCATCACTTTCTATCATCACATTGTCTTCTACCTCTTCCCCAACACCATTCTCATCGTCAGCATCAGTTACCCCATCCAGCTCATCATACTTTTCTACATGTGTATAATCAACAGCACGAGGCGAAAAACCCCTCTTAAGGAGAGCATGATCTGCAAGAGCCGATAAAATAGTCAAAACCGCCTCTCCACTTCCTTGACGAATTCGATTTGGAGCAAGATTTGGGGCTGAGATGTCCATGGCACGCAATTCCCCCAATATATTGGTTGAAGTTGCGTTTGGATCATCAAACTGACCGGGTGGCTCAAATTCATGTCCAGCTAAACCCATAAGCCAAGAGCACAGTGACGTAAAGTAGTGAAACTGAGCATTTGGATTATCAATCGAAGATGGTCCGGAAAAATAATACTTACTCAAAGGCTTGAATGGAGGCTTTACACGCGGACAAAACTCCGTCTCGTAACGCAAAATTCTCAGCTTATCAATAAGGTCCTCCATGGTGCCATCGTCCACAGCGGCACCTTTGCTCGGAATGCCGGGACCCGTTGATTGTTGCGGACTTTCTTCCTGGGACATTGGCTTCTTCTAGATGTTTCTGTGCAATAACCAAGCCACAACAACAACAACAACAACAACAACAGATACCGGAAATAAGCAAATCAGCAACA